GTATTATTTGGATTGAATTATACCAACTATATTTTACAAAAGGAGAAATGGAGGATTAGTGATTTTCTTGAGACCATATAACATAAATTGGAAATGAGTATTGTAGACCATACCTTTATTCCTAGGTGCTTGGGAAATCAGAGGCAGGATTATTAAGATCTTATCTCAAAAGCATAAGTAACTCAAGTAGTAGAGCACTTGCTTGGGAAGCAAGAGGCCTTGGCCTGGGTATTCAATCCCTTATTCTGCCAAAAGTGTGTGTGTGTGTGTGTGTGTGTGTGTGTGTGTGTGTGTAATTATACTACACATAAAAGCTTTTAAACAAATGTTCTCTTTCGTCTTTTCCTTTTGTGCCAGTATTTGGGCTTAAACTAAGGGCCTGAGCTGTTGCTTTGCTTTTTCATTCACAGCTTGCAGTCTACCACTTGAGCCTAAGCCACATCTCCATTTCTGCTTTTTGCTGGTTAACTGGAGATAAAAGAGTCTCTCATTTTTGTCTGTCTGGGCTGGCTTCACCTCAACATCCTTAGATCTCAGCCTACTGAAGTAGGATTACAGATATGAGCCACCAGCACTCAGCTCTTTCATTGTTTTATATGGCTGAAAACCCTGAAGTCCAAATAAAAGATCGTATTCTTACATTTAAACAAATTCCCCAGATGAAACAATATTACAGTATTTTAAGTGTATTATGTAGATCTGTAAACAGAACAAAGAAATCAGCACTATGAGCTACCCAACCTGAGGCCACCTCATTTTTTTTGCTAGTAAGGTAGACGTCAATGTGTGTCTCCTATAACTAACTTCTGCCTGCTTTATCCAACTTTTTTTTTATCTGCTATGCTGCTTAGTGGAGCCAGGATCCTAAAGAAATGCAGGCCTTTTCCACCCTGAAAATGTCTTTTCTACAGACAACTCAAAACTGATATAATAGTGTTTACGTGGAAATTCTGCAATCTCTGAAATCTTCACAAGAAAATCATAACAGGAGAGAAAGCCTAAAAAAAAAAAAATCAGCAAAATAAGGCCAGGCACTGGTGGCTCGCACACGTAATCCTAGCTACTCAGGAGGCTGAGATCTGAGGATTGCAGTTTGAAGCCAGATCTTGCAGGAAAATCCATGAGATTTTTTATCTCTAGTTAACCACCAGAAAACCAGAAGTGGTACTGTGACTCAAAGTGTATAAAGTACTAGCCTTGAGTGAAAGATCTCAGTGACAGCACCCAGGCCCTGAGTTCAAGCCCATGACCAACAAAAAATAAAAATAAATCAGCAAAATAATTTTTTCCATGGAATTTGACCCTTGGAGGAATCACAGTGAAGTATATAGGGTATGGAAATTCAAGTGCAAATGTCCCCAGGTGTCCCAAGCCACCCACCTACCTGTGGACAAAAATGTGTGTGTAATGCCTGTCCTACTGGATCTCATCTAAGTGAGAGTTCTCTGGAAGCAGTGCTTCAATATCCTCTCCTGTTAAAAGTAAAAGGGAAAGACAGGAAGTAAGGGAGACAAGGAAACAGATATCAGAGGCTGTGAGGATTCACTAACCCAGTACAGCCCCATGGGAACCCAATGGAGTAACAGATACTTGTTTTTTGTCTCCTACCAAGCCATAGAATCAGGACATAGACAAAAAAATCAGGTAAAAAAGATGAATCCCACAAGAGAGAACCAGCAACTACTGTCAGAGCAATATTAGAACAATTAGGATGGAGAAGTTGTTGGGTTACTGAGTTCCATTTTACGCAGACACAAACTTCCTTGGGCCAGTGTCCTTCAAGTGGGATCCCTTGATGAACACTCAAGTATAGAATACTCATCCTTCTGAAAATGGCTGGTATATAAATCCCCACAGATACAACTGAAATCCAGTCCATACTTATCTGTTTTACTAAATATAATTCTTTTTTTTTGGGGGGGGGGGGGTCCGGACTCTGGGCCTGGGCGCTGTTCCTCAGCTCTTCAGCTCAAGGCTAGCGCTCTACCACTTAGCCACAGCGCCACTTCCAGCTTTTTTTCTTTTTGCTGATGTGGTGCTGAGGAATTGAACCCAGGGCCTCATGCATGCAAGGCGAGCGCTCTACCACTGAGCCATCTTCCCAGCCCCCTAAATATAATTCTTTAGGAACCCAATACATTGTATAAAATAACAATTTACATGCTGCAAGAACTTTAGCATTTATTTAAAATAACTTATTGGCCTGTGAAACTTAGGTTAAACATTTTTTTAAATCGCCAGTGTTTGCTATTCATTTATCCTATTAGTGCTCATTTGTTCATGAGTTCTTTTTATCACCATACCAAATTACTGTGAAATTTGTTTAACACTTAGCTGAAAGCCAGAACCACCTATCGAAGGAACACTAACAAAACCACCAAGAGGTTATTTCCTGGCTCATAATCACCTACCATATAGCTTGAAAAAATTTAGGATTATTAAGTTACTCCTAAATTATTTTTCTATTTTAGAGTCCTTTGAATTTTTAAGGTACTTTAGATACATTTTAAATCTAGAGCTTGGGGGTTTTGTTTTGTTTTTTAAGTGGCAGTTATTAGGGGAATGAGATTTTAAATATTTGCATAGTCTATATTACTGTCTGGGAACCAGTTGAGAACATCAATAGAAATTAAATTTCTTCATTAAGGTTTACATAAGTTTTCACTAGATGTAGCCTTTACCTTTTTTTTTTTTCTTTTGTGTGGTTCTGGGGATTGAACTCAGGGCTCTGTATTGAATTCAGGCAGAAGCTCTACCACTTGAGCTAGTTTCATATTTGACTTTTAAAAAGCCCATATTTTGTTTGAATAGTTCATTACTGTCCTTTAATATAAAAGAATATCAATTAGTGAATGCTAACATATTCTATAAATTATGAATACTAAACACTAAAGAAACATTTATCTCCAACCTATAATCACAAATCAGCTCTTAGAAAGGCTTGGAACTGGCCGTTTCCTGGGATCCCAACTCCAGGTGTGCTCCTGGTGCCTCAGCACTTTTCGCTCATTGAAATCTTTTACATTTTCACTGTGGACTGAGTGGTCTCACTGCCCCTCCCCACCACACTGAAAAAGTGTGACACAGCTGCTTTGTGTGGCACCCAGAGGCACAAATTTGTTCCTGCCTCTCCTCCTCCCTCCTGGGACATCATGAACTCCTGTCCTCTCTTCCTGTACCTGGTTTCTTACCATGTCCACCATCTGTGTGCTGTCAGAACCGTGAGATGAGGAGCCAGCCCAGCTCTGAGCACCAGGACCCTCCCCACACTGACCTACGTCTCTTTCCCATCCACCTGCTACTCCAGCTAAGGCGGGGCCAGGGCGTCCCATCCCTGACTTCACTTTCCTTGCTCTGAGCTGCAGCTGCTTGCTCCCCCATGGATAAACAGAATGTGGATATGGGTCTGTTTTTCAAATTGCTGTCATAGTTTAGGCTTGGGTAATTAATAAATCAAAGGATGATTTCTAGATAGAAAATAAAACATAACTATATTCCAGAAAAAAAAAGGCTTAGAACTAAAGCCCATTATTTCCATCTCTTAGTGATTCTACCTTAAATTCATTGTATGTTCAGCATCCTAAAATGTTACTTCATAAAAGTGTAAAGTCCAAAAGCAATGGTTGAACACCTCTCAAGACATAGCATTTTTCTGTACCAACTGGGACCAGTTTGTCTTCTTACAGAGCATCTCCTCTACTAGACTGAAGATTCCTAGAAAGTAAGGGCCTTTTTCTATACCCAAAGCTAACAGGGATTTATAGATAATAAAATATTGGTGTTGGCCATCAATGACCCAGAATAGTGGATGAGTTTAAGAATTTAATCTTAGGGGCGGTAAAGAGTGTAGTTGTGGAGGTGGGAGGGAACGGGTTGGTAGGGGAAAAATAAAGGAGGAGGCAACAATGCTTGATAAGAAATGTACTCATTACCTTACTCATGGAACTGTAACCCCTCTGTACTGTATTTTCACAATAAAAAACTTACTAAAAAAAAAAAGAATTTAATCTTAAAATCCTAAACATTTGACTTTTGCAAATGCCTCAAATGACATTGTCCTGACATGAAGGTTCACCGATAGGATTTAGAAGCAATAAATAGGAGCAGACTGAAACTAGTGATAAACTTAAGATTTCCAAGACTTACGTATTATATGATCCTAGCTTCCTGTGTTTAAGACCTTACCAAAAAGACATACTTGTGAAACACATGTCCACATAAGGTTTTCAAAGCTTTTTTAAAATATATATTTTTTAAAAGGGCTGGAAAGGTGGCTCAATGGTAGTGTTTGCCTCGCATGCATGAGGCCCTGGGTTTGATTCCTCAGCACCACATAAGCACTGAAAGCAGGAAGTAGTGCTGTGGCTCAAGTGGTAGGGCACCCCCCTTGAGCTGAAGAGCTGAGTGACAGTGCCTAGGCCCAGAGTTCAAGCCCCATGACCGACAAAAAACAAAACTGCAGACTTTTAAGAGTGCTCTTTCTCACTGAGAGTCTCCTCATCAGAATAACTATGGATACTTGCACACAGCAGAGACTTGACTGGAAGTGCTACTTCTGCTTAGGAAGACCTCTGTGTATCCTAAGCTCTGGAGCCTTTAGAAAAACTAAGGACTTCTTAAAAAATGTATAAAACCATACATATGAGCAAGATCCCAAAGTGTCACTGCTTTCTCAGCCATCATATTAATAAATCTATCTATACTTGAGGTGTGTTTATTCTGAACTATCTTCTTCCCTGACATTGTCAGTTCTTCACTCTCTCATTGGGCAATTACTTACTGTATAGCCACTGAGAAGGAGCCCTGGGAAAAATGAGGCCAGAGAGAAATAATGAAGTATAGTCTTTGCCTGGAAGAAATGTGACAGTCTACAACATATTGATGGACTAGTGCTGTCTACCTACTCAGCCTTCACAAAGAGAAGCAACAGAGGAACAGCATTTCCTGTGATCTTAGGAGTATTTTATGTCTTCCTTCTAGATTCAAACACCACCAATGCATCTTTTGCTTTTTACTTTATTTGGCAAAGCAGCACTGCATAAACTGTGCAGAAACTAGCACACAGCTTACACAGCATGTTAGATTCATATACATTATCAGCAGCAAACTAGAAACAGAAAAAAGGACTGACTCTCGTCTCCTGTCATTTTTAGAGAGAAAAGAAAAACTATGTCAGTTATGTCCAATCTGAACAGCTAGGTTTATAGGACATCACCTGACATCTGCTTAAGTTTCAATATTTACAAAATGCCTAGTTTTAAGGTAACAAAGCAGCTGATTGTATCTACCACATGCTATTCTATGACACCACATCAAAAGCTTTAAAGAGAAAGCTCATCTCTAGTTTCTTAGTAGCATCTAACAGACATCCAAATATCAAGAATTTTAACTTGTGAGTGATATTGTTATCTGATGCACAAAAGAAATCTGATAAATTAATACTGGAACAGAATTAAACGTCCAACAAAAGAAAAGCCACTTCTCAAAATAAATTCATAAACTAAGCTTTCCACTTTGCAGAACCCTTTCTTTTCATATTATTATAGTAAAACATGGGCATGTTAAAGCAATTACTAATTATACTCTGCATCTTTCCTATACCAGTTTGGTTCTGTGCCTCTTTGAAGAATTAGAAAACCTTACAAAACCACACATTTTCATGCTGAAAATAAGAGTGTAACAAAGTCCAAAACAAGCTGTGATGCCGTTGGTTTCCAAAAAGCTTTAAGGACTGAGATGAGCAATCGTCTGTAATATTATAGATCGGTCAAGCTGATGTTGCTTTTACAGTTCGTCCCTGGGGAAGAAAAGAGAAAAATGTAAGTGGCAGTTAATATACTAAAAAAAAGTTTTTTTAAATTGGCTGATAGCTTAGATACAACACTTAAGTCAGTAAAAAATGCACTGACCCCCAAGCAATTAAAAGTATGAACAATTCCAAACTCAAAGCAAAATCCAGCCATCTTTCATGCTACTCCAAAATGAAGTATAAAACCAGAAGACACTGAGTCCTATATTTAGTCCTAAAGATTTAAATTTCTTCCTTCATGATCAAAAAAATCAGAAAAATTATTCCTTTTAGGATCACCTTGATAATAGCTCTTACTGTAAAATGATCTGAATATTTAGACTTCAAATGATTTTTATAGTTACATTCACAAATTAGGCCAAAAAAATTAGTCTTTTGCTTAGAGTGTCTGTTATCAATTGTGGAATGGGTCCATCTCAACCCAAACTCTCTGGGAGGAAATGCATCATCTGTAGGTATAATATACCTGTCAGGTGATTTCATAAGGCAGCTTTATCAGCTCCAAAAGAAACCATTCGTTCAGCCAGGTGCAGCAGCACTGTGCCAGCAACTGCCAGTGAGAGGAAGGAAGGCGTAAAAACGCAGCCTAAAATTGTACGGCTTATCAATCCTACCTTAACAGAGCCACCAAAAGTGAAAAAATAAAACTGCCACGAACTCTAAAAGCATTGCTTTTAAGGGTAATTTGAGTAACAAAAAAATTCATTAAAAACTCAAGTACTTTAGGAACAAAGCATGGTCTTTGCAATTATAACTTTAGTGATTCAGAAAAGAACACTGTATACTACATAGACAGAAAAGGGGGACGGGAGAAGTAAAATGTGAGAAAATGGCAGTAACTGATCATTTTAGATGAAGCACTGGAGGAGCTCATTATACTGCTTTATCAATCAAACTGTCTGGTAAGAATTAAGATGAAGTTGAGAGCCAGTGGCTCATACTTGCTACAATCTTAGCTACACAGAAGGCTAAGATCTGAGGATTGTGGTTCAAAGCCAGCCCATGCAGTGAATTCTGTAAGACTCTTATCTTGAATTAACCACCAGAAAAATGGAAGTGGTGCTGTGGCTCTAGCAAGAGCTCAGGGACAGTGCCCAGACCATGAGTTCAAGCCCTATGACTGAACAAAACAACAGCAACAACAACAAAAAAAGAATTAAGGTGAAATGTTTTGAGAAATTTGTTAAATTTGAATATAACTGAAGTAAAGAATTTATAGCCAGTGGCTCATGTCTGTAATCCTACCTACTCAGGAGGCTGAAATCTGAGGATAGCATTTCAAAGCCAGCTGGGGCAGAAAAGTCCCTGTGAGACTCTTATCTGCAATAAACTACTCAAAAAATCAAGAAGTGGTGCTGTGGCTCAAGTCTTGAGAGTGCTAGCCTTGAGTACAAAGAGGCTCAGGGAAAGTGCCCAGGCCCTGAGATCAAGCCCCAGAACCAGCAAAACAACAACAAAAAAGCGTGTCATAGGTAAGTAGTATATTAAGGAGTTACCGGATAATATGTCTTTTCTTAAAGGCTGAATTGTTAAGTAGTACAAGAATTTGTGTCTGTGTTAGTACTGGGCTTGAAATTAGGGCCAGGGTGTATTCCCTGAGCTTTTATTGTTCAAAGCTGGTGCTTTGTCATTTGACCCACAGCTCTACTTCTAGCTTTTTCTGGCTTTGAACTGTAATCCTTAAATTTCAACCTCCTGATTATTAGGATTGTGGGCATAAGTCACTGGCACCTGGCGACAAGAAACGATTTAGAACAACCATTTTCCTCTCATGAACTACTTTACTATTACACTATTGTTATCTTTTAAAGGACAAATTATCTTTTCTGATTCCTTTTTATATAGTCTTCTGATAAAAATAACATAGCTTTTACCTAATTAATCAGTAAAATATTTGGTTCACAAAGTATCTACTTGTTCTGCTGGGTACCAGGGGCTAATACCCGTAATCCTAGGTACTCAGGAGATAGAGATCTGAGGATTGCCATTTGAAGTCAGCCCAGGCAGGAAAGTCCATGAGACTCTTATCACCAACTAACCACAAGAAAACCAAAGTGGCCTTGTGACTCAGAGTGTCTACACGTAGAGTGCTAGCCTTGAGTGAAAGAGCTTAGGGACAGCACCGAGTTCCTGAGTTTAAGCCCCACAACCAACCAAAACAAACAAACAAAATATAAAATCTATGTATTCTATTTACAAAGAAAATAAATTTTCTTTATAAAGTCTTTATAAAGTATGAAGATACTATATTTTTTAAATATATACTTACTTGTTCAAGGTATTAAAAATATTACAAATAAATCTCAACACAGTATAAAATTTACAAATACCTTCTCCATTAAAATTATTTTGGCGAGGTTCACACCTGTAATTTTAACTACTCAGAAGACTGAGATCTGAGGATCAAGGTTCAAAATCTGCCCAGGCAGAAGAAATTGTTTTATTTTCTTTTTGGGTCCGGTTGTGGGGCCTGAACTCTGGGCCTTGGCGCTGTCCCTCAGCTCTTCAGCTCAAGGCTAGTGCTCTACCACTTGAGCCACAGCACCACTTCCAGCTTTTTTCTTTTTGCTTATGTGGTGCTGAGGAATCGAACCCAGGGCCTCAGGCATGTAAGGCAAGCACTCTACCACTGAGCCAACTTCCCAGCCCCAGGCAGAAGAATTTGTGAGAGTTATCTCCAATTAACCAGCAAAAAAACAGAAATGGTTATGTAGTTCAAGTGGTGAGCAGCAGTCTTGAGCAAAGAAACCAAGTGAAAGCAAGAGGCCCTAAATTGAAACTCCAGTACCAGCACAAAAGAAAAAATGAAGAAGAAAAACAAAGTTTTTTAATAGACTTGCATTTAGTAATTTATAGTGTCAGGAAAAAACAAAATCTTGCTGCCAAGTGCATAAAACAACTTGTACACACATTTTCAGGATGTCCCCTGGGTATGTTACTGTCTTTCAGTTTTCATCCTTCACTTTTCTCATTTTTCTTTTTCTTTTTTCTTTTGCCAGTCCTGGGGCTTGAACTCAGGGCCTATACACTGTATCTGAGCTTCTTATGCTCAAGGCTAACACTCAACCACTTCAGCCACAGTGCCACTTCTAGCTTTTTCTGTTTATGTGGTACTGAGGCATAGAACACAGGGCTTCTTGAATGCTAGGCAAGCACTCTACCACTAGGCCACCTTCCCAGCCCTCATATTTCTTTTTGAAAGGGCCCTTCCTTCATTTTATTTCAAACTCTTAGCTGAGTATATTCCTGCCTGGACTCTCACTGAACACAAACCCTTTATGAACACAAAGAAATAATAAACTTTAAAGTTAACTATTGTACCTTCTCCAAATTTTGTTCCCCAGTAATGTTATAGGAACCTTTTTTAATGTGACATATTTTTAGCTATTTTCTGTACTTTGTTTCAAATTCCAGTATTTTTGTAACTAGAAACACATCTGTGGATGTATAAAAATCTATTTGAATAGAAAATCAACAACAGATAAAGCTAGCATGTTAGTATAGCAAGCATAGTATAGTAATGGTTTCTAATGATGTAAGTAAGCAAAATTAACCTTTCTCTTAAAGCCTAAAGGCTCCAAAATAGATGTATACATAAATATTTAGTAATATTTAAGAATCATCAATAAAATTGTTCTAGAGCTGAGGATGGTAATAAGTGGTACAACACACGTCCACCATGTGTGAGGCCCAGAGTTGGACTTAAAAAAAAAAAAAAAAAAAAAGTCAGGCGCTGGTGGCTCACACCTGTAATCCTAGCTACTCAGGAGGCTGAGAACTGAGGATCGGGGTTTAAAGCCAGCCTGGGCAGGAAAGTCTGTGAGACTCTTATCTCCAATAAACCACTAGAAAACCAGAAGTGGCTCTGTGGCTCAAGCGGTAGAGCACTCGCCTTGAGCTGAAGAGCGCAGGGACAGCGGCCAGGCCCAGACTTCAAGACCCACGACCGACCAAAAAAAAAAAAAAAAAAAGACTGAATCTCTTAGCACAAATGGTTTGTTTTTTTGTTTTTTTGTTTTGGTCGGTTGTGGGACTTGAACTTTGGGCCTGAATGCTGTCCCTCAGCTCTTCAGCTCAAGGCTAGAGCTCTACCACTAAAGCCACAGTGCCACTTCCAGCTTTTTCTGTTTATGTGTTGTTGAGGAATTGAACCCAGGGCCTCATGCATGCAAGGCAAGCACTCTGCCACTGAGCCACCTTCCCAGCCTCAAATAGTTTGGTTTTAATGAGGATAGATACAGGTTTGGGGAAGGCCTAAATCTATAATTGGAGAAAAGAGGAAATCACTTTATGCCTTGAACCAAGATCTTCTAAATAGCTTTCTTGAGTTGCTACCATTACAGGTGTGAGCCAATGGCACCTGGCAGTTCTGTAATGTTTTAAGCAAACTAGAAGTGAAGTGAAGGAAAGTTGTAAGTAGTTGCTGATAACTACATCTGATTTTAAGTGAAAAGATCAACAGTTTTTCAAATGATTTTCTAAAGGATAGCTGTGTTCCAGGCTACAAATCCAAGAAAATACCTAAAATTACACAAGGTGAAAATAAAATACAATTCTTCATAAAATGTTACAGAAAGGCCATGCTGAAATGTAGTTAAAAGTAAAACATAGCTGGGTGTTGGTGGTTCACACTTGTAATCCTATCTACTTAGGAGGTTAAGTTCTGAGGATCACAGTTCAAAGCCAGTCTGTGAGACTCTCATCTCCAGTAAACTACCAAAATAAGCTGAAAGTGAAACTGTACCTCAAGTGATAGAGCACTAGCTTTAATCACAAAAGCTCAGGGACAGTTCTCAGGCCCAGAGTTCAAGCCCCAAGAAAAAAAAAAAAAAAAAAGGCAAAACACTACTGAACATGGTATGCACACCTCCTATAAATCCCAGTAATTTTGCAGCTCAGAAAGTGCTGCTGTGCACTGATTTCCCTTCCTCTCTGCAAGGGGAAGGTGAAGAGGACTCAGACTCTGCTATGGCAAACAGCAAAAGCAGGCATTGGATTTACAGTGAGCCATGCTGTGCAAAGACAGTGTGGTACGGCATGCTGCTGGCCCTGTGGGTGAGGAGTGAGATGTGGGCACACACTGGATCTTCTACAGGATCCCTGCCCTCCCCAGGAAAGCAAACAGAACAGGTGGAAATCAGATGGCCCAGTCTATGGAGAGGATGGACATTTGCTCCTTTTGGTGGTTCTGAAACAATGGCTGAATGAACTAAGGAAGAAATCAAGCCAAAAGGTAGAATATCCTCTCTGGGATTCTGACCTTTTAAAAAGTGGGACAACTGTGTCTTTCTCCTTCTTGCTCCCTGTAACAATGTACAATGAGACTGTATGAAGCGGGAAATGATGGCCCCATCTAAGTACAGAAACACAGAATGGCTGATAATGAAAATAACCTTATAAAAGGCACTGAACTGCAGCTGAAACTCTCTTAAAAACAAAACACAACACACCTCTGTGCCAACCAAGTCTCACACACCCAGAGATAAGTTCTTGTGAAAGAAGGGCAGACCATGCAAATTGTTTCACAAGTTTAATGTAATGGATTGTTGGTATTTTGATGGAGTAGCATGAAGATGGCAACCAAAAACCAAAAGCAGCCCTTTGCAGTCTAATGTCTTAAAATCCACACCCTTTCACCTTGCAAGTGTGGAAGAAGAAAGAGCAGAAGAGAAAATCACTTCCACCTGGACCACTGCTTTTCCTTATCTGTTAAAGGCACATAAATCACCCCCATCAGAGGCTTCATTTTGACACTGCCATCTTGTAGCTTGTCATACTGCTCCAACATTTGGTTTCCACCTGCCGGACCCACTGGTAATATCAATCTTCCACCAGGCTTTAACTGGTCTATTAGCTAAAGGAAGAGAGAAACAAACATACACATCAATGTACAGATTTTGTATTACTAGTTATCTGACATCACTGTAAAGAACGTTCGGTCCATGAGCAGAAAAGAGAAACATGCAATAGTCTTCCTTAGTACAGTGGGGCATTGGTCTCAGGAGCGGAGCGCTCAAGCATAGTAGCATGACAGTATTTGCATATAACGTATGCACATCATCCCAAACACCTTTTCTGCCCCACTACTGGTTAAATACAAGAATGAAGAACCCACATTTACTATGTTAAAAAAAAGAATAATCATTGAATATCTTGCCATGGAGGCTAATCATATGTAGAGAGTCAGAACTAAAAGAAGGTTGTAACAAAGATACTTGGTTTGGTTGGGGACCGGAAGAGGGCCAAGGTACATACAGTTTTACCAACTGCCTACTTACTCATTTACCTCTCAGCATCCACTACTAAACTCTAAGTTTCTTGAGGATAGAAACTGTATTTTGTTCATTACTGTGCCTCAGCACCTAACATAGTACCACGTACAACTACAATGTTCAACATGTTTGAACTAGGCCACCTGATGTAGCATTATCCTCCCCTGAAATAGCAGAAAATTCTAAAGCCTGTGTGTCTGGAGTCTTTGTGGTTGAGAAAGAAAGGGAAGGGGAGGAAGGGAAGTATAGAAAATCAACAAGAAATCACTATCATATTGTTGTTGAATGTAGGGCACTACTGAAGCTAAGGTAAGGGAAACCTAATTACATAACTGAATTGAGAAGTACTGCCTCCAGGAAGAAGGACAGGAGGGAAGGGACTGGAATATCTAGCATAAGAATGTGGGTATCATTATTAATGAAAACCCAGGGGCTGGGAAGGTGGCTCAGTGGTAGAGCACTTGCCTAGCATGCATGAGGCCCTGGGTTCGATTCCTCAGCACCACATAAGCAGGGAAAAAAAAAAAAAAAGCCAGAAGTGGTGCTATGGCTCAAGTGGTAGCGTGCTAGCCTTGAGCTGAAGAGCTGAGGGACAGTGCCCAGGCCGAGAGTTCAGGTGCCACGACCAGACCAAAAAAAAAAAGTTAAATATAACTTACAGATTGCCACTATTCAAATGAGTAAGGAAGAAACATGGCTTTGGATATTTTTACCCCAGAAAAGGGTGTCTGCCCTCAGTGGGTATATCCTATTTTTTCCTTTGTTGATATTTGCAAGTATTCTTTAAGTCATTTTTCTGAATTTTAAGGCCTATAATGAAAAATGTCAGACTTCTTCATCCCGGCCCCAACTCTTTACCTGTGTCTTCTTGTATGATCTTTAGATATCAAATTATATACTAGATAAGGACTGCACTCATTTGCTGTACATCTAGTTCCATCCCTCAATCTAACCAGTCAATTTATTTTTACTCAAATCACTTTCAGAGCCGGGAGCTAGTGGTTCATGCTTGTCACCCTAGGAGGAGGCTGAGATTGGAAGGATTCCAATCCAGTTCAGTGCCAGTCCAACCCAGGCAGAAAAGTCTCCAAGATGCCATCTCAACAGAGGAAAACCTAAAATAGGTGCATCCCAATCAAGGCACTGAACCTAGGCAAGGTATGGGACCATATCTTAAAATTAACCTTCAAGCCGGGCGCCGGTGGCTCACACCTGTAATCCTAGCTACTCAGGAGGCTGAGATCAGGAGACTGGGAATGTGGCTTAGTGGTAGTGTGCTTACCTAGCATGCACTGGGGTGATTCCTTAGTACCACATAAATAGAAAAATCTGGAAGTGGGGCTGGGAAGGTGGCTCAGTGGTAGAGCGCTTGCCTTGCATGAGGCCCTGGGTTCGATTCCTCAGCACCACATAAGCAAAAAGAAAAAAGCCGGAAGTGGCACTGTGGTTCAAGTGGTAGAGTGCTAGCCTTGAGCTGAAGAGCTGAGGGACAGCACCCAGGCCCAGAGTTCAGGACCCATGACTAGACCCAAAAAAAGAAAAGAAAAATCTGGAAGTGGTGCTGTGGCTCAAGTGGTAGAGTGCTAGCGCCTTGAACACAAGAAGCTCAGGGACAGAGCTGAGGCCCTAAGCTCAAGCCCCAGGACTGGGGGCTATAAATAAATAAATAACCTTCAAAATACATAGCAAGGCACAATTCTGAGGTTGCCTGTGTAGCAAGCAAAGGCCCTGAATGAGTGTAAATCTAGTATTGCCCCCTCACCCAAAAAAACCCTGTTATGACTGTAAATTTGCTGCTGGACCAAGAGATATCCCACGATTGCTTTTTCTACAATTGTTTGGTTATACTGCAACTAAAGTTAAGACTTTCCCTTTTCATTTACTTAGTTTCTCTCTCTCTCCCTCTCTCTCTCTCCACGCTCACCAGCCCCCTCCCCCCAGTTCTGTGTGTGTTTGTGTGTGTGTATGTGTGTGTGTGCACCAGTCATAGGGTCTGAGTGGTGTCCCTTGGCATTTTTGCTCAAGGCTAGAGTTCTACTTTAAGCCACAGCTCCACTTCTGGTTTTTTGGTGGTTAATTGGAGCCTCATGGGCTTTCCTGCCCAGTCTGGCTTCAAAACATTAATCCTCAGATCTCAGCCTCCTGAGTAGCTAGAATTATGGGCATGAACTCGACTGTAAATTTCTTAGAAAATGTTTCCTAATCTTTCTACCTTACAACAGCTTCTAAATTTTCATATTAGATACCAACTCTATTAATTAATGCTCTTTTGTTGTCTCTGCAGATTCCCCTCTAGTCCTACTGGACTTCTCTTTGTAATAACCCTGGGAACTCTTACCACTTCTCTTCGACTAAGCAATCACTCTTCCTAGACCCATGACTTTCTGTCTTCAGTCTTTCTGGTCTGTCTTGTTCCAGTTTCTTTTTTTATGTTGTTATCAATACAATTCCTCCAAAACCATTTTGTAAAACAGTATGTGGAACATGAGACTGGAATTTGCAAATCTAAAAGCATCTTTATTCATTTGGAGATATGTGTTCAGAGAGAATTCCCCTAATTTTCATCTCTTTATAACTAAGCTAAACATGAAAAAAAGTACCTGTGTATAATTTATGTTTGACAGAAACCTAGTGTTTCAGTGAACTTAACCACAGAGTATTGAAAGCTGACATAAGATTATTTGAATATGGGTTAGGAATGTGGCTTAGTGGTAGGGTGCTTGCCTAGCATGCATGAAGCCCAGGGTTAGATTCCTCAATAGCACATAAACAGAAAAAGCCGGAAGTGGTGCTATGGCTCAAGTGGTAGAGTGCTAGCTTTGAGCAAAAGAAGCTCAGGGACAATGCCTAGGCCCTGAGTTTTATCCCAACTGGCAAAAAAAAAAGAAGGGAAAAGAAAAGAACAAGAAAAAAGAAAAAAAGATTATGTGAATATTCCCTAAGATGAAAAATCAACATTGTACTTTGAAGTTGGGCATGGTAGCTCACGCCTATAAGTCTAGCTCTCAGGTGGCTGAGATCAGGAGGATCTTTGCTCTAGGCTGGCTGGGGGGAAGGAGGAGAAGCTTAGAAGACTCTTCAGTGAAAAAGCTAGGTGAGGTGGCATGTACCTGTCATCCCAGCTAAAGCATAAAACATAAAATAGGAGGACTGTGTCCCAGGTTCACACGTATGCAAAAACCAAAACCCTATCTCAACAAAACGCACAGTGGAAAAAAAAAAAAAAAGGCTGCATAGTAGTAGTTCCTAGCATGTGGCTGAGTTAAATGCCACTACCACCAAAAAAAAAAAATTATACCTTACATGTAGTAGTCTTTCTTTGCATTGCAAACCAGGCAAATCTTACTAGTTTTTTAAAGAGTCAGTTCAGGTTTCATCAGTATATGAAGTCTCCTTGATGCTGCCAAATTCTCTCCCTCATATGCATGCTTTCTATCTAATATATATCGTATGTTAATTATTAACTATTACATTATTAAAAAATAAAATCCTAAGTACATTCTAAACAGCATCTACAAGTCACTTTGTATATAAATCTTGAGAGTGTTAGCTGAATAAAACACAAGCAGAAAACCCCAACTCACTGCCTGGGGCACAACTGGGGCTGCCGCTCCCACGTGAATAGCATCATAAGGAGCTTCTTCAGCATATCCCATTCTTCCATCACCCACTGGAAAATAAAGGCATGTTTTAAAATTGATGCCGGTCAAGTGAAAAATCAATGTCAGAAAGATCAAAGACCTAAACATGAAAAGATCAAATGTAAAGAAAGAGTATAAAGACATATCTTTATGACTTCAGATAGGTATAAATAAGACATAGAAAGCCCTGGGGTACTGGTGGCTAATGCTTGTAATCCCAGCTACTCAGAAGGCTGAGAACTGAGGATTGTGGTTCGAAGTAGCCTCGGCAAGAAAGTCTGTGACTTTTACACACACACACACACACACACACACACACACACACACACACACACACACACACACACACACACACACACACAGAGCTGGGAAAAATTAGTAAGTCTGAAAAAGAAGAATTTCAGAAGTGGCTCTGTTTCTTAGTGGTAGAACACTGGCCTTGAGCAAAAAGAGCACAGGGACAGGGCCCAGGCCCCAAATTCAAGCCCAACAACTGACCCAAAAAAAAAAAAAAATCTATTTATCTATCTATCTATTAAAGGGGACCATGGCTGAAGATGGATCGTAGTGATACAGCACCTGCCTAGCCTGGATAAGCCCTGAATCTGATTGCCAGCAGCAGGGGGAAAATGGGCAAGGGGGAGTAAGATGAAAAATGCACACTCTGTGGGAAGACTCTTGTTTTTGTCTTTTCTTTTTTCTTTTGGAGGAGGGGTGAGGGCAGTGGTTGTGGGGCTTGAACTCTGGAGCTGGGCGCTGGCCCTCAGCTCTTCAGCTCAAGGTGAGTACTCTACCTCTTGAGCCACAGCACTACTTTCAGTTTTCTGGTGGTTTATTGGAGATAAAAGTCTCATGGGGGGGGGGGGGGGGGGGGCTGGGAAGGTGGCTCTGTGGTAGAGTGCTTGCCTTGCATGCATGAAGCCCTGGGTTCGATTCCTCAGCACCACATAAGCAAAGAGAAAAAAGCTGGAAGTGGTGCTGTGGCTCAAGTGGTAGAGCGCTAGCCTTGAGCTGAAGAGCTGAGGGACAGCGCCCAGGCCCAGAGTTCAGGCCCCACGACCAGACCCAAAAATAAATAAATAAAAATAAAAGTCTCACAGACTTTCCTGCCAGGGTTGCCTTTGAACCAGGATCCTCAGATCTCAGCCTCCTTAGTAGCTAGGATTATTGGCGAAAGCCACCAGCGCCCGGTCTATGGGGGAAGATTTATGATGTAAATGGCCAACTAAGGGATGGTCTCTAGAAGACCTATGTCAAGAAAAATACAAACAATCCAATATCTAAACAAGTACTTCTCAAAAGAAGTAACAAGATGGGCAAACATGGGGGAAAGTCTTGAACCTCACTCGTTAATAGGAAAATTCCAAATTAAAATCTCTAAGAGATACAATACTATACACATATTAGATAGGCAAAATAAATATTCCTCTCAAAGTGAAGGTAGAAGAATGCAATTATTAGCTCAGTATAATTCAGCTTATATCACCATAAAAATAACAAAATTCTCTGAAAAATAAAGTTTTCTGATACTTACCAACTAGCTGCACTCTCCCTGAAGATAACAGTGTTGAATCATCCTTTCGGACATTATTTATTGAGTCATCTACTAGCTCTTTAATGTGATCAATTCCTATGACTTTTCCACTATGACCAACCTGTGAAAGAGAAAATAATTTAAGAGTATACTGAGCTAAATTGATGTTTCTTTTAAGCTAGGCACTGGTGGCTCACACCTATACTCCTAGCTATTCAGAAAGCTGAGATCAGGAGGATTATGGTTTAAGGCCTACCCAGGCAGAGAAGTTCACTAGACCCTAAAATAACTAGAAAAAGGCCAGTGTGGTTCAAGTGGCAGAGTGCCAGCCTAGCAAGTATGAGGCCCTGAGTTGAAAACTAGTACCATCAAAAAAGTTCCCTTAACGTCATATTCTACAATGAGAATTCAAAACCAAAAGGCTAGCTGGGTGCCAGTGGCTCACACCTTAATCCTAGCTTCTTGGGAAGCTGAGAGATAGAATCATGGTTCTAAGCCAGCCAAAATGGGAAAGGTCCTAAGATTCTTATCTCTAATTAACCAGCAAAAAGCCAGAAGAAGTGGTGCTGTAGCTCAAGTGGCAGGGCACTAGCCTTGAGCAAAAAGGCACAGGGAGAGCAACAGACCCTGAGTTCCAGTCCCAAGACTGATACAAAAGGGAAAAAAAAAGAAAAGAAAAAAGAATATGAGACTTAGTGGAAAGGATTTGACCTCTTCAAAACACTTGAAAGAAGTATGTGAAACATCATTACATGTTAGGTGCTATTCTAGTTGCTCAGGATGCAACAATGAAAAAACTAAAAAGATGAAATTTTTACTTCTCTCTGGAGTTCATAGTCTGTAAGCCTAAAGATTATATATTTATGGCAAGTTACAAGGATTCTATTCCAAGATGGATTCGTAAATCTCAACTAGACCAGAAATCTTCCAATCTGGCTCAAAGGTACAAGATTTCACATAACCAATCTGATAAGATGATCTGAGCACAGGAGAACCTTTACTATGATTTTTTGGGTACTCATCTTTTTTTTTTTTTGGGGGGGGGGCCCGGTCGTGGGGCCTGAACTCTGGGCCTGGGCGCTGTCCCTCAGCTCTTCAGCTCAAGACTAGCACTCTACCACTTGAGCCATAGCACCACTTCCGGCTTTTTTTTTTTTGCCTATATGGTGCTGAGGAATCAAACCCAGGGCCTCATGCATGCAAGGCAAGCGCTCTACCACTGAGCCACCTTCCCAGCCCTGGGTACTCATCTTATATTCGGGATAATCTTTACCATATAAACCTCAGGCAACAAAAGTGGAAGTATAAAAAGCATTCTTCCAATGTAAAAGAAGTTCTGGGGCTGGGAAGGTGGCTTAGTGGTAGAGTGCATGCCTTGCATGCATGAGGCCCTGGGTTTGATTTCTCAGCACCACATAAGCAAAAAGAAAAAAGCCGGAAGTGGTGCTGTGGCTCAAGTGGTAGAGCGCTAGCCTTGAGCTGAAGAGCTGAGGGACAGTGCCCAGGCCCAGAGTTCTGGCCCCACGACCGGACCCAAAAAAAAAAAAAAAAAAAAAAGAAGTTCTGACTTCATTCATAATAAACCTATAGGAGTGTCTATACACCAAATCCATTCTTTTCTGACAGACAAATGTAGCTGACTGCCATTGTAAGAGCACAATGTAGAGCCTGACTGATAATAAAGCTAAGATGGGAAACACAGAGGCATAGCAAGACCCAGAGAGAAACTTACTGACAATAACAACATCTAGGACACAGACTTTTCAATTATGTAACCTAAGTATTTTCATTTCAACTTTGCCATTTGTAGTTAAATATTATGCCACTTGCAACAATAACATAATCAAAGTACCATCTCTTGTGTGTGCATTTGAGTTTGTGTGCGTGTGTATGTACACACACATGCTACTACTGAAATTTGAACTCAGGGCTTTGTACTCAACTCTACTTCCCTCATGGCTAGTACTCTACTATTGAACCCTGCTTCCAATCTGGCATTTTTGCTTGTTAACTGAAAATAAGAGACTCACAGACTTTGTTGCCTGGGTTGGCTTCAAACCAAGATCCTCAGATCCCAGCTCCTAGGTAGCTAGATTACAGGTAGGAAACACCTGGCTCAATTGTTACCTTAATAGAACAAAACCCACAAATAATATGTTTCTGTCAGAATTAGAATACAAAACTCTTACCATACGTGCAAAACATGCAGTGAGGATTCCGCTTCCAGACCCTACATCCAGAGCTTTAGCTCCTTCGTGCAATTGATCAAAAAGAAGTTCTAGTGCGTAGGCATGCTGCCAAAAGAAAACAATCCAAACGTTCATTCTTTCTAACACTCCACAGTATATGCACAATACCAACTTTCCAGTTTTTCTACTAGTATCTCATCTGAAGACAAAAAATGAAATTATTTACTTAATCTCCTATGATGACAAAAAATGAAATTATTCACTTATGAATTAAATAAGAAAATTTTCTGTTTGACTACAAGTCTTACATTTAGAGAAATTGGTCCAGTAATTTTAGATACCCAGAGTGAATTAAAATTCAAAGACAAAATCATACAGAGAGATTTCAGTGAAAAGCCACCTCCTATTTATACCCCCCCACTATCCAGTTTTGCCCTCTAAAGCACCCAATGTTTCCAATTTCTTAAAAAAAATTGTTTTTATGTATACTGAGCAAAAACACATCCTAATTTAAAGGATCATTCATATCAATCCTTAAACAGCATATTCATTTATTATTTTTTGTGCCATTCCTAGGGCTTGAACTCAGGGTGTGGGCTCTGTCTCTGAGCTTTTTTGCTGAAGGTTAGCACTCTATCACTTGAGCCACTGCTCTACTTCTGGCTTTTTGCTGGTAAACTGGAGCTAAGAGTCTCACAGACTTTGCTTCTTGGGCTGGCTCTGAATAGTGATCATCATATCTCAGCCTCCTGAATAGCTAGGATTATAGTCATGAGCCACTGGGTGGTCCAGCTCCAGCTTGTTCATTTTTCATGGCTTGGGGGGGGGGGGGTCATACTCTGGAATGGAGGAATTTAATAACAAATTTCACTAGTGAAGATTTAAGTTATTTGTAATCTATAACTATCTTAAGATAATAATCTATGTAAGATAATATAGCAATCTGTAAAAAATACCTTATATTGGTATTAAATTGCTAAAAGTAAAATGGAAGGGATCAAAAGACATATTTTATGTTTACAGTGTACATAAATTATAAATAAAAATCATATTGGTTATGCTATGGATCAGCATTATCCTCCTTCTTTTTTTGATTGGTCATGGGGCTTCAACTCTGGGCCTGGGCGCTGTCCCTCAGCTCTCCAGCTCAAAGCGAGCATTCTACCCCTTGAGCCACAGCACCACTTCTGGTTTTCCGGCGGTTAATTGGGGATGAATCTCACAGACTTTCCTGCCCAGGCTAGCTTTGAACCGTGATCCTGTGTTCAGCAACCTGAGTAGCTAGAATTACAGGCGTGAGCCACCAGCACCCAGCTTAAGAAGTGTTCTTTTTGGGGCTGAGAAGGTGGCTCAGTGGTACAGCACTTGCCTTACATGTATGAAGCCTGGGTTCGATTCCTCAGCACCACATAAGCAGAAAAAGCTGGAAGTGGCACTGTGACTCAAGTTGGTAGAGTGCTAGCCTTGAGCTGGAGAGCTAAGGGACAGCATCTAGGCCCGGAGTTCAGCCCATGACCAGCAAAAAAAAAAGGTGTTTTTTAAAAAAAATAATAATAATGAACTAGTCAAACACTACCAGGGATAGAAAATTAAATTCAGAATGGGAAATTCTATAGGACAAAGAACTATCTTTGTCAATAAGTAATGCTTAAGAGAAGGGGTCTAAAAGCTGGATGTGGTGACATACACTGTCATCTCAATACTCCAAGGCTGGGATGATGATCATGAGTTTGGGGCCAACCTAAACTACATAACAAGAAGCTGTCTCAGCCGGGCACTGGTGGCTCTCGCCTATAATCCTAGCTACTCAGGAGGCTAAGATCTGAAGATCACCGTTCAAAGCCAGCCCGAGCAGGTAAGTCCTTGAGATTTTTTTTTTTTTTTGGTCAGTCGTGGGGCTTGAACTCTGGGCCTGGGCGCTGTCCCTCAGCTTGCTTCAGCTCAAGGCGAGCGCGCTCTACCACTTGAGCTACAGTGCCACTTCCGGTTTTCTGGTGGTTTATTGGAGATAGGAGTTTCACGGTCTCTCCTGCCCGGGCTGGCTTTGAACCGAGATACTCAGATCTCAGCCTCCTGAGTAGCTAGGATTACAGGTGTGAGCCACCAGCACCCAGCTTGTCCTTGAGAGTCTTATCTCCAATCAACCACCAGAAAACTGGAAGTGGCAGTGTGGCTCAGGCAGTAGAGCTATCATCACCTTGAGCTGAAGAGCTCAGGGACAACTCCCAAGCCCAAAGTTCAAGCCCCACGACCGACAAAAAGAAAAAAAAAAAAAAAAAGATGCTGTCTCAAAGAAAAACTATTAAAATTAAGTGATTTTTAGCTGTGCACCAATGGCTCATACCTATCCTACCTACTACTCAGGAGGCTGAGATCTGAGCATTGTGGTTCAAAGCCAGCCCTGGCAGGAAAAGTCTGTGAGACTCTTATCTCCAATTAACTACCAAAAAAAGCTGGAAGTAGAGCTGTGACTCAAGAGATAGAGCACTAGCCTTGAGCAAAAAAGCTCAGAGACAACACCAAGGGCTTGAGTTCAAGCCTTAGGACTAGCACACACATGTGCATACAGGCACGCACACACACTGGATTTTAATCACTAATTCAAAATAAAAAAGATGCAATGTCTGGACTTTATTTGGATACTGACTTAAGCAATTAGCTCTAAAAACCTTTTTCAAACATCTGCAAAACTGAACATGTATTTGGTACAACATTAAGGAATACAATGTGATTATAGTATAATAACAATGCAGACTTCTGTGAGTAGTCTTTGATATGTATATTATTTAGGCTGGAATATTAGACTTCCAGAATCTTCTGAAGGTCTAGAAATTTCTAATAAAATAATAAGCATTAGACTATAAAAAAATGAAAGTACTCAAGGAAACTAACTCACATAATATCTAGCTTTCCTTAATCTAGAAAGGAAGACAGAAGGGACTTGTCCAAGGTATGGACTGTACTGAGTTTCAAAGGTTTAATCAAATTTAAAAAATAATATATATCACTTGCACACAGGAGGTTTCATTGTGGCATTTCCACACATGCACAACATATCCTGACCAACCTTGTCTACTCTGTCTTCCCCATCGCATTCACTGCCTCAAAACAATTTCAGCAGGTTGCACTGTTTTATTTCCACACATGCAAAACAAGTTCAACCAATTCATCTTCATTCTGTCTTTGGTTAGCCTTCCCCCCCTTTCCTACTGGTATACACTCACCCAATGAGCTTGTTTTACTTTCCTGTACAAGATTTTCTTTTTTAAAGATGGATATGTTAAGTTCCATTCAGCTTTAAAATGTCAAGGCCTAGCCAGGCACCGGTGGCTCACGCCTGTAATCCTAGCTACTCAGGAGGCTGAGATCTGAGGATCTGGGTTCAAAGCCAGTCCGGGCAGTAAACTCCGTGAGACTCTTATCTCCAATAAACTACTAGAAAACCAGAAGTGGCGCTGTGGCCCAAGTGGCAGAGTGCTCGGGCAGTAAACTCCGTGAGACTCTTATCTCCAATAAACTACTAGAAAACCAGAAGTGGCACTGTGGCCCAAGCGGCAGAGTGCTCGCCTTGAGCTGAAGAGCTCAGGGACAGCGCCCAAGGCCAGAGTTCAAGACCCACAACTGACCAAAAAAAAAAAAAAGTCAAGGCCTTTGACTAGCTTATTCCATATTTTTATTGCTTTAGCTAATCTTTTTCTGTATAAACTATGCTCACTTCTAAGTTTAAAACAACATATTGTAAGGATTTTATTTTCTTTTTGTGCCCATCCTGGGGCTTGAACTCAGGGCCTAGGACTCTCATTGAGCTTTTTTTTTTTTTTTTTTTTTGGCTAAAAGCTAGCACTCTACCATTTGAGCCACTATTGCACTTCTGGCTGTGTGTGCGCCTGTCTGTCCGTGTGTCAGTATGTGTCTGTGTGATTAATTGGAGAGAGGCTTTCCTACCTGGACCGGCTTCAAACTGTTATCCTAAGGTCTCAGCCTCTTAAGTAGCTAGGATTACAGGCGTGAGCCACCAGCACCCAGCTAGATTTATTTTTTTAAGTTATGAAAAATTCAAACCCACAGAATATTTGGAAATACCACAAACATGCTTTTTTCCTCACATACATCCCCCATCTCTTTATACTGTGCCACGATGTTTTACCAAACCTTCTGAAAATAGACTGTGGCTATCATACTTCACTCCTACACACTTCAGCACACACCTGCCAAAAAACAAGATCTGCCAAAAAAAAAATAATAAGGACATCCTCCTTCACAACACTTACCTCAGATCCATATCATCCCTATCACCCTAGCAAAGACTGTCACCCTATATACCACACTTGGGTTCCTCAGTTGTCCTCAAAATATTCTTTGCAGATGTTTTTCTCAATCCTTTAAGCGTTCATGCATTTGCCAAATGAGAATATCTTCCTTCAACTCTCCTCTTCCACCTTCGTTCAGTTCTTCAGCACACTCACTATATTAAGAGTCCTGTCCAGTTGTTGCTACAGACAGTGCTCCACATTCTACATATGTCTATTTCCTCAGGGTTAGATTAAGCTAAAGACTTTTAAAAGAGCACTACACAGCTCTTGCTGGGCACCTCCCCTTTTAGCCCATCAAGAGGTGCATGCTGAGTCATCTACTACTAGACACTAGGCTGTTCGCTGTGGCCACTCAGGAAAAGCAGGTGACCAATAGATCACATTATTTTCAAGGCATTATTTTTATGAGTAAAAGAGAGACAAACTTGAAATCTTGTGAATATTTCTGTTCTCCAACATTCTTCCCCTTAATGGTTTTAAATTTACTGATTATCTTTGCCTATATTAAGAAGATTGATATAATTTTAGCCGGGTGCCAGCAGCTCATACTTGTAATACTAGCTGAGATCTGAGGATCATGGTTCAAAGCCAGCCCAGAGAAAAAAGTCCTTGTGAGACTTACAATTATTAACCACTCAAAAACTGGAAGTAGAACTGAGGCTCAAAGTGGTAGAGCACTAGCCTTGAGCAAAAGGCACTGAGTTCAAGCCCCACCACCACCAACAACAACCAAAAAAAAAAAGTTTAGAATAAAATTTTAGAATTTATATTATTCCCCATACATATATTAAT